TTTTTTTTTTCCAAAATGACTTCACATAAAATAGGACTTCCTTTTGCACTAAGACAAAATTTCATCTCTAACCAATAAGATATTTTAAGTACATTATAGGAGAGGCAAAGTACTGTCATATTCAAATATTAAGGCTTCCTAATAGAAAACCCCAACAAATGATCAACTATAATGAAAGTAAGAATGGTCAGGATTGAGTGGAATTTTGCAAGTTCAATTCTTGCTGAGGAATACAAGGAGAGATGCAGGTGTTTGAATTAACAGTGACCTTAGGACACCTACAGCAACAGCCAATAACCATCAGACTGTCCAGGAATGGAAGAAAGGCTATATCTAGCTTTCTTCCAAAGAACAAGTCTAAAACAATGTATTTACAATATGCAAGGAAATCCTGAAAGACACAGTGATGGTAAAGCTTGCGGCGCCTTCCAAGACACAAGCAGGCTGCTGCGGCACATGTACCGCCACTGGTCTAGACTACGTCATAAGATGATAACTGGAACTTTCTTTAGAAAAGTTGTAAATAAAATAAAATAAAATAAAAAATATACTGGGCAGGCCAAATAGCTCAGTGGATTAAAGCACCTGCTTAGGCAGACAACAGGGGCTGGGAGTATTCTCCCAGGACTGCATGTATGCCGGCCCACCCTTGGGGCGTGCTGAGACAGCCATTGAGACTGGGCATGGCGCGCGCCTGTAGTCCCAGCTCTTGGGAGGCTGTAAACAGGAGGATCACTATGAGTCTGATCTACTCAGTGGGACCCTGTGTACCCTGTATACCCTGTCTTAAATGCAAACATGTAAATAAAATAAAAATAAAAAATAAATAGAAAAATTGGTACATGCAAAGCATAGTAGCCTTTAAGAGCAGCTGTTTTTTTCACTTTTATAATTGCTAGGACATTAAATTTCCCCATATTGTATATACAGTTTTATATCATACAACCTATATATGTGTGTACTATTTTCGTTTTCCAATATACAATTGAAAATACAACATATGCAATATACATATTGTTTATAGTTTTGTTGTCAGTTTATGACCTGCCTCAAAATCTGAGAATAACCATCAATTTCCATTTTAAGACAAAAGCAAATAAAAGGCGCTCTTCAGTGGCACTGAGTATCTAGGAAACGCTGTGGTCACTGTGAGACTCCGGTCAGAGAGAACCGCTCCTCGCCGGAGGCAGGCAGCCCGCCAGCCCTCGGGGCTGGACCTCGAGCGCCTCCTCACGTCCACCCGGCCCGCGGGGAGCAGCCCTGGGGCGGGGCGTGACTCCCCGAAATCCACCGCGACGCGTTTCCTTCTGAACTCTGTCCTGCCTATTAGATTTGAGAGTGAAAAGATCTGGCTGTGTTCTCCTGCAAACTGATTTTCAATCAGAACACGACGCATACATTAAATACAGATTCATTTCTAAGAGCCCGAGACATATCGTTGTCTATCTGTAATTGCGTGAGCGCAGCACACACTTGCATATTCATTCCTACGTTATGCTAAATGCCAGGAAAGAAGGATTTCAGCAGTCGCGCGGGGGCAAAGCAGATCAGCACCGAAGGAAAGGGACGACCGAAGCCCAGACGGCCGACTAAAGCGGCCGTGTCCCGTGCACGCGAGGCTGTGCCGGCCTCCGAGAAACCTGGCACCGCTGTGCACGCCGCGTACCTAACTCGTCAAAGTGCGTTTCCGGCCCGTCCTCGTCGGTGACAGAGCACACCAGCCTCGCCTTCAGGAAGGTGGTCCACTTGTTGACCAGGCTGCGCAGGCCCCCGGTGTCGTTCTGAAACAGATTTGCAAATGTCACGCCCATCACTTACAAACATATAGAAGTGTCAGTCTTCGCATTCGCCATAAGCCGGCTTAGTCAAGGAAGCATTGTAATCTAGGGAATGGGATTGTTAACCACGTGTGCACATCAGAGTTAAAGAGCATGGGCTGGTGAGATGGCTCAGTGGTCTAAAGCACCTATTTAGAACAAGCTTAGCTAAAGCACAGGGACCGCGGTTCAATCCCCCAGCACCACAAACCAGCCAGCCTCACCCCCTGGTGGACTGAGCTCCCCCCCCACATAAATAAATAAAAACTTTAAAAAAAAGTTATTAAAGAGCAACATGAGCTTTCTGTAGGACTGTGTAAATTGGCTAGAGCTGAGCTACTATTCTCTTATGGTATCAGCTGCAAAGAAGCCGATTAGGTTAACAAAGCGCGGCCTTTATGTTAGCAAAGTAGGGCAGAAATGCTCATAAAGTGCTATGGAGAACAAGCTCATTCGCACTTGCTGGACAACTCGGCATCTTCCGTATGAACAAATCAAGGTCTGCAGCGAGGGCTGCGGGCCAGCGTGGGCTGCACAGTGGCCTTCCGCCGTGGCCCGGCTCGCCCAGGCCCCGCCCCGATCCTTCTCTCCGCAGCAGCTAATCAGACGCTCTGTGTCCGCGTCAGCCTGGCCCGGCTGCACTCTGAGGTTTGGGCTACTCCCAGGTCTCCCCGTTTCTGACTTCTCCTCCCTCCTGCCCAGGGAGCCTTTTCACTCTTCCTGCTGTCTTCGAGAAACAGCTGAGTTCCCATCAGTGGCATGCGCAGTACTTAAGGAATATTTAACAACTAACGATAAACACTCTGAAAAATACTTTTCACCGACAATTCTAATCATAAATAGGCCAGCACAAGCCTGTACGTCTGTAGGAGAGGATGTCACGACCTTCTCAGTGTTGTTTCCAGTTACTATGTATACGCAAAACATTTCGGTTACTGTTTACAACTGCATTTTGACAGCATTTCTTAATTTTTCCTATTCTAGACAATTCCACAGTATTATCTTTTACTGATATTTGCCTGTTTTTTATTTACAAGAATTGTTGTATTCTTTCAGTAATAGACAATTTAGGGATTTGTTTAAATTCCAACGAATTAAATGGACATGTAAAAATTAGTCAAAACTGTTTATCTGTTTAAAACCACAACCAATTTCCCTGAAGGAAGTTTTTTACTGAAATATGGTGTGCTTATCTCAAATGACTGATGCAAATAAACACATTATTTTATAGGCATTTTTCTCAGTAATTTATTTACATATTTGTAACTCTAGATAATGGAAGCATGAAGAGAAACTATCGAGAAACAGCTACTTATGGGATGCAAGGTGCTGGCTTCCCAGTGGCGCAAGCGCAGTGCTTACAGGGCATATCCTAGCAACCATGGAGTGGATCTGCTTCGTGCTCCTGTTGCTGTCTGTCAACTTCTCTTTGAAGAAGAAGTACACCTTGGCGTCGTTGGGGTCCGTGCCATCCGGGATCAAGTGCGCATCCACGAACATGGGCTCTGGAATAGAGTGTGAACACGACCTAGGCCCCTGCGAACGCGAGCGCCTTGGTCTTCCTGGACGACTCCGGGTGTGTCCCGCCCTCACTTGGCTGTGAAGAACGGCTGATGCGCAGAAAATTAAATTTCACGAAGCAGCTATTGCCTTCCTTTCAGCACACCACATTAGAAATGTCAAGTACGACAGAATGGAGCTGTAATTTCACAGCTCAAACTTTTCCCCTGTCTGCTGTGCATTTTAGAGACGCAAGAAATGCGGCAATTATTTGTGGACTAGGGAGTTTCTAAAAATTGAAAAGCTTTCGTACCAGTTATTTCTCATAGCATCTGATGGCCGCCTTAGGGAAAAGACGCTTGGTTTGCAATGTGTGGTTTTTGATCTAGTGCACATGAACCCAAACTCACTGAAGCAGTGGAGGAGTTTCAAGGCCAAAAATCCAAAAGAAAGTAATGAAATGTAATAAATGTAATGAAATGAAAGCAATGAATGAATGGGAAGAATGGGAAACCTCTCAAGGCGAAGGGTAATCACTGGAAGACAGATGGGTTTCCTCATTTCCAGAGCAAAACAACTCTCAGAATGTTCTATGTCCAGGCGTAGTGGGGAAATAATTTGGAGAAGTAAAGGGACAATCAGTGCTGTCTTGTGCTGCTCTGTCGAAAACAAGATGCCTAACTGCAGGAACTTGGGCTGTGCTGCACACTGGCAGTGAATGCCCATATTCAGAGCCAGCCAGAAACGTTCCTGGGGTGGAAGATGGAATCTCTACTAGCTTCCTCCTCTTCTGGGCACCCGTCTACTGGGGTCACCCAGCAGAATCCCATCTGCATCTTTCTTATGTGAATTCCATATGACCCCAAGAACTGGAAAACACTGAACAATGATACTCTTAGGGTTGTATCACACTGAGGATTTCTATGAAATAGTAGTCCAACTTTGAAAAAAAAAATAATAGACACAAGTTTTATCATTTTAAAATTCAAGTACAAAACAAATTGTAAGAGTTCTTGAGAGTAATCCATTCATTAATCTAAATGTCATAAAGTGAAGCTGGTTTTTAAATTTGGAATTACTAAAATATACAAGAAGATGAAATGAAGCAAGAATGACTAATCATAATATGTTATCCTTCAACAACTGGAGAGGACGATTAGGGGCAGGAGGCAGACAGATAGGTACTTCCACCATTTTTATTTATTTATATTCCTATGACAATTATATGATGAATTGTAAAATAAAGAATTGAAATATGAACACTGTAATTTCATGTTTATCTTAAGTACTTTAAATGTTTGAATACAAAATTGGCATTGCTCACGGCACGCCTCATATTTCAGTTGTAACTGTCTTTTCTAGTTATCATTACAGAATTAAAGGTCAGCTTAAAGCAAAATACTGAAGAAAACATGACCAGAATGTTTGCTCACCACTCAGCCACTTGGAGTTGTGTTGATCGGTTCTGACTGCGTTCCTCTTGGTTAAACTTCGGAATATAGCAGCGTCTGTCCCCATGAAATCTATGTACATTCCCGAGAAGAGCTCCTCATCTACAAAAAAGAAAAGATAAATTTAAATGTTATCAAAAGTATTTTAAAAGTCAAGGTACACTTTATTTATTAGGCAGTCATTTAAGATATTACAGAATGCTTGTCACTATTAATTTGTTTCCACTGACTATAAAATTCAAATTTATTTGGGTCATTATGGGGAGTGGAACCTAGAGCCTTCACGCTCAGCTGCGTGCCCACCCTGTCATGTCTTCGTCTGACCCCGCATCTCCATCATTCAAGGGCGCAGGCTGGCACAGAGAAGAACTTGCCATCCTCCTGCCTCAGCCTCCCAGCGCTTCGAGATTGCTAGAGCGCACCGCCACACACAGCTTGCACGGAGTCAACCTGTCTTCTCCTTATCTGCATAATTACTATATTATCTGCATAATTACTAATATATACATATGTAATCATATGTGAGATATTTATATGATATATATTTATGTGATACATATATATATTTCAAACCCTAGAATGATTTCTTACTATATAAAAATAAAAATTCCTTTGTTTTAATTATACTAGCAATGTTATATAGTATGTATCAGAAATAGCAGGTATATAAAAATAAAATATCTTAATTGTTTTATTTTAATAAAGTCTAAGAATCAGAACACCTGGTTTCTAATTTAGCAATCATTAACAGATTGGGAATAAGGCTAAGTTGTTTAATACCTTGAATGTCAATCTTTTCATTTATGAAATATGCATACTAGGTTGTGATTTCCAAATTTTCCAATACTTGATAAAATTTAACTTCTTTTATTCATGAATCAAATAAAATAAATTGTTATTCATGATGGCTACTTTTCAACCATCAAAATACTATTTATTTGTTAAATATCTAAATATTAATAGCATATATACTGTCTGCCAAAGCCTGTGCACACGCTTCAGGAAAAGGAAAATAGCGGATTTTTTTCCATCAGATGGTTTTAGCCTCCGATAAGGGACCCAGAGGATGCTGTAAACTGCAGGAAGCCACCACACTGCCGGCCCTTAGAGAAGATACCACAGGTGTGGGTGCAGTGGCCTCGGGGACCGAGGTCACCCCCAGCAGCCGCAGTGCTAATTGCCGCTGCGAGCCGACGGCGTCCACGGCAAGCACCTCTTGCATGGTGTCAGCGACTTTATTCATCTCATGATGTCATCATAAGGTTACTATTAAAATACTAATACACATTTTTCTATTCCTGAAGTGCGGATATATTTTGGGGGGATGCTGACTATTTGGATCTTTAGTGCTGGGAGGTTCCCAGCATGTAAACTAAGAGTAAACTTAGTGTTTTAAACAGTAACTCAGTCCTGAAAATTAGAATATAGTGACAAGAAAATATTTAGAGAACAAATAGCCTATCATTATATACCAGGATCCTTCGGATGTTTAATCTGCATGATATTAGAAGTTGGCTCGCTTTGGCAGACCTCTTCCTCAATGCAGTAAGAATTAGGAAGTCCTGAGTTGCTAAGGAGAACAGGGCCGGGGCAGGAGCAGGAGCCGAGTGTCCGCTTCAGAATGAATGAGCCCGCCAGGCCCAGCCTGCTCTCTGCTCCCTACCTGAGGGCCGGGCTCTCCCAGTGGACTTCGAGGCCATCTGGGGCACTGCTGCCAGAGCCAAAGCACTCCGCGCTCCCTGCTCAGCAATGAGCCGCCCCCTGGACGGGGACCGAACACAGAATGGAAAGACTTGTGTGGCCCAGCGTAGCCTGCACCCCTCCCAGCCACAAGCTGCCATGGCAGCATTTGGTCACTCATGGCTTCCTTCAAAGGTCCAAGGTATGAAAACATCGCAGATGTGTAGGACAGACTTTACGAGCAACTTGGTGACTTAAATCAGGTCGAGGTGCAACTCAGTGGGAGAGCACTTGCCTGGCATGCATGAGCCCTGGGTTCCCCCGCAGCACTAACAGGAAATCTAAGGACACTGGGGAAGCACACAGGCGCACAGAGTTGGCTGCTAAACTGAGAGAACTCTGCAGTTGATTACTTTGCCTTTTGCTATAAGTAATTAACCATAGAGCCATGAGCTACAAAGTCCTGCTGCTTAACAGATTGATTAGCACAGGTATCAATTATCACCTCTGTTTTCAAGAAAGAGAAGATGCAGAGGCTGGTGTAGGGCTTGCACAATCCCCTCATTAGTCACGTTACAAGCTGCACAGGGCACTTGCCTGCCTAAGGGGCTTCACTGCATAACCTTCACTTTCAGTGATTTCAATAAATGGGTTATGAAGTTTCTGCTTTATTTGTATTTATAGGAATTCTTTAATGTCACTCTTGGAAGAATTGCTTTTAAAATAAAAGATTCTTTTATTCTGAATTTCTTTGCAGGGTTTTATGTAAAGACAAGCTAGTGCCTTTTAACTTTAATCCAAAAGTATTTAGCTTTCCAATTGTACTTTCACTGTGCTTCACGAATATTTATGGTAGCTCTTCTTAATGATATTTGAGTTCCCTGCTGGTTTTTTTTTTTTTTTTTTTGCAAAACTGGGGATTATACTCAGACACTTGCACTTGCCAGGGAATCACTTATTCTACTGAGCCATCTCCTCAGCCCTCTCTGCTGTCTTTTAACAATGAATAAATGGAAGAAAAGAACATGGAATATTCACAGTGGATTAGATGCCACAAATTCAGCATAAAATTTGAACTTCTTTTAATTGTTCCTGCTTCTTAGTATTTAATACAAAAAGTATTTTAGTCAACTTGTATCATTTAGAGCATTGCACCTAAAAGGAAGTGAGAGGTGCATGTCATGGTGCAGTGAGAGCCCACAAAAATTACTGTGAATAATCTTAGAGAAAAGAACAACTGGATAACTGAAGCAATAAGGATACATTTAGATGCATCCTGATTCTTTTTCAGTTTTTAAGTAATGCTAAACATTTAATGTTAATTTCTTTGATGATGAGAATTGTAATGACTGATCAAAATAAATAGTAAAAAATAAAATAGCACGAGCAAGTGAGTTTTTCAAGTCTTAGGCCCTTGAAAAACTGAGAAGGTCAATATCTAACTTTAATTTTACAAACAAATTCTCTGGAGGTGTAACTATTAAATGATGGCTCAGGAAGAAAATGTATATCAACTCATGACAATTTTAGTCTAAACAATAGTCAGTGGCTATCAATACTTAAATGCCCTTTTACTATGTTAACGGCTTTGAAAGTTACATTCACAGCCTTCAACTTGAAATGAATGAAGGTATATGTATTTAACTTTATCACATGTAATTTTCTTACAGTTTTAAATTCTAAAAAGAATAAAGTACTAAGGGGCTGGCCAAACAGCTCAGCGGACTAAAGTTCCTGCGTAGGCAAAAGTGAAATTTCACGACTGACAAGACATACGAAAGGGCAGAAGACAGAAGCACGTCCTGCGCGTGCTGGTGCGCCCAACTCCGAGCACGCTGCCCGCCCCCGAGGATGGCGCGGGCACATTCCAAGGGAGCCGCGATTAGGCGCAAGCGGGAGTCTTTTCAGTGAATCACGGACAAATGTTCCGTGGAAGGGGCCCAAAGCCCCGTGCCTGGGCCCCGAGGGCGCCAGCAAGTTGTCGCGGCTGCAGCTTCACTGACATCAGACAGGAAGTAAGAAGTGAGAAGACACTGCCGTTTCCTCTCCCAGCTATGCGACCCACCCGCGTAAGAAGGGCTTTGACTAGCCACGCGCTTGATCTTTTCTCATTTGAAAGGTCTGGCATGTTCATTCAAGTGAAAAAGATGACTAAAATAGGAGAAAAACCGAGTAAATTTTATACTATGCTTCTAATTTTCTTTAAAAAAAAAATCTTTATTTATGTATTTGGTGCAGGGTCCCGCTATGCAGCTCAAATTCCTAGTGATCTTTCTGACTCAGCCTCCCCAGGGCTGGGATTACAGGTGCGCACCACGCTGCCTAGTTTCGGTGGCCTGCTCGATGTGGGGCTAGTACAGCATGCGGTACCTGGGATCGAACTCAGGTCCTTACTCTTGCCAGAGCGGTGTTTCGACCACCGAACTACCACCCCAGCCCACTATGCCTATTATTGTTAAGCTACACTTTATAGCAGAGAAAGGCCTCCCACATAAGCGCACTGTCGGGGTGCGCTACTTTACACCCCTCTCGTGCGTGCTACTTACTGATCATCACAGACACTGTGTTCACGCTGGGGTTGAACGAGCAGCGGCCTTTGCCGGATTCACACTTGGAGTCAATCACAAAAACTTGGTCCTTGGAAGCAGAAAAAATAGAATGCAATCATAATTAAGTATAATGTCAGGCAGCGACACTTTTCTAGTTAAAATTATTTTTCTTTAATAAAGAAAAGCACATCAAAACTACTGTCTTTCCCGTGGTTGCGGCGCCCTGCTACCTGCCTCCGCGTAGGCGCCTTGGGGCTGACGCAGAACTCTCCCTAAGTGCTGCGCGGACCCCGCGGGCCGGCTCTCACCCTGCTGCACTTCGCAGAGAGCTGATCCAAGCCTGGCTCCTCTCACATCATCAGCGAAATGACTCAAAAATCAAGGCTCGTTATTATTCTGAGCTAGAAATGTTGGAAATCAGCCCAAACCAGAAATTCTCCACAGAAGAACAAGGTGGGTGAGGACTGACACATTTCTACAGTAGGCATTAAAAAATAATAATAAAAGTTTCGTTACCACTGTTAAATAAAATGTCATGTGAGACTCCAAAATTGTGTAGTTTAAAATAAGGCTTTTAGTCCCTTATTTAAGGAGAATTTAGGTAGCAAAATTTTATTTTACACCTATCATGTGCCAGATGCTAGGCTAGGAAAGAGTCATGAAATCTTTCTCCTACAGTAATTCACAACACAACGAGGAAGAGAGAACATCAAGAGACTCAGTAGGTAGAGCATCATATGTTGGCTGATATTTGGAATCTGGCAGAAACCTTAAGGAAACAGAGGCAGTGGAGGCTGGGGTCTACCTGAAGGGCAGAGGCAGTGGAGGCTGAGGTTTACCTGAAGGGCAGGGGCAATGGAGGATGGGGTCTACCTGAAGGGCAGAGGCAATGGAGGCTGGGGTCTACCAGAAGGGCAGGGGCAGTGGAGGCTGGGTTCTACCTGAAGGGCAGGGGCAATGGAGGCTGGGGTCTACCTGAAGGGCAGGGGCAGTGGAGGCTGGGGTCTACCTGAAGGGCAGGGGCAGTGGAGGCTGGGGTCTACCTGAAGGGCAGTGGCAGTGGAGGCTGGGGTCCACCTGATGAAGGGCAGGGGCAGTGGAGGCTGGGGTCTACCAGAAGGGCAGGGGCAGTGGAGGCTGGGGTCCACCTGAAGGGCAGTGGCAGTGGAGACTGGGGTCCACCTGAAGGGCAGAGGCA